TGAAAGGGTATATGGGTCATTCTATTGTTTTCTGTAGCGCAAACTGCAAATGGACTCGGCCCATAATGCAATTATTACTATTTACTGCACTAGTGTCCAACTCTGACAAAGCACGGTCTTTTTTTTTTATTTTTGCTACAGTAATTTTTTAAATGTTATAGTAACTTTTCGTGAATGCCATAGTAATTTTTAAAAAACCTGCGTTATTTTGCTTTGTGCTACAGTGATATTACTATAATAATCCACGATGATATTTACTGTATGGTGAATAGTAAATCTTTGGATCATCTTACATTAAGTATAGATGAGTAGCTTTAGAAGAATGCAAACTTAAAAGCTTAGCTTACGATCTTCTCATTTAGGAGAGGAAGAGATTAAGCCCTTCGATATAAGTAGACATCTCCTCTAATTTCTCTCCGGTGATCTTCTCAAAAAATAATAATAATTGTAGACCGATAACAGTCAAGACACTCTTCCAAGATGCACTGACTTCATTTTTTTTTAGCACCGCCTATTTCAAATAGAATGATATAATTGATACAGATTGTTCGTGACTTTTTTTTTTAGGAACTAAAAACAGTGACTTCTTTAAATGATAAAAACTTATATTTGAAACTATAATATTATTATATGATTGAGAATTGAAACAACTAATTAAACTGATGACTAGTGGAGAGGATGCCGCGTGTCTAAAAGAGATCCGTATTAAAGGCAAGAAAAACAATATTTGACGTTCAGCCAAACATTACCCGTGCGGCCGTGCGGCCAAAAAATTAAAAAAAGCCGTCAAAAATGATATTTTGCAGCTTATTTGTTGTTCAACAAATTTGCATTTTATTCCCGCAACCAAATCTATTCTGCAAGCTTTAGAGCAAGTGCAGCAAGCTCCCAGTTGGGAGTCCTAGTCAGCATGCTCTCAAGAGCTCTCAAGCTTTAGCAAGCTCCCAGTTGGGAGTCCTAGTCAGCATGCTCTCAAGAGCTCTCAAGCTTTTTAAAATAAAAAACTAATAAATTATACCTTGGATGCTCTCAAGAGCTCTCAAGCTTTTTAAAATAAAAAACTAATAAATTATACCTTGGGAGGCACTCCTTTCTTTATGGAGCTCCAACAAGCTCCTAGTTAGGAGCTCCAACAATATCAAAAAAACCACTCTTCTATTTTAATATTTCACCCATTACTTTTAATTATATTTAAACCTCTTGTATTTTATTTCTAACCGTTGCACACGGTCTTCGTTGCGGATTGCGAGAACTCGATGGGATGACCTTCTTCTCCGACTTCTGTGTAGAACGGCGAGTATAAGGTCGATCCTTCACCGGTAAGGAGATGCGAATAATAGTTTTGTGAGGGATCCATGAGATTTGTAATTTGATAGGGATATATTGAGTTTTTTTTATGAGAGAGTTGTGTGAAATATTTTGAGTAGTGAGATGTGAATTTATAGATGTTTTTTACAACAGTAAATTTTTCAACAGGATTTTCACAACGTCAATATTTCCAACGTCAATATTTCCAACGTCAATATTCCCAACGGTATGATTCCACAACGTCAATATTTCCAACAGCCTGATTTTCACAACGTTCGATTATCAACAAGAAAAAAATTCACAACTCAAACCTTTCTTCTCCTTCGACAAAAAATCACAGATCCTTCTTCTCCTTCGACAAAAAATCACAGATCCTTCTTCTCCTTCGACAAAATCCTTTTAAAAAAATCGCAATCCATTCTTCGACAGACCAAAAAAATCAAAGCCAACCCCAACCCCAATTCTTCGACAGACCAAAAAAATCCCAATCCTGTTAAAATCAAAGATCGCAATCCATTTAAAAAAAAATCACAACCGCAGCTGGCCAACGCAGACCAAAAAACCCTCATCCCCAAATCTTCGACAGACCAAACCTTCTCCCTTCGCCACCATCGTCTCCGACCCAACCCCAGCTGGCCATCGCAGTCTCCGAACGCCACCGCCACCGCAATTCTTCGACAGACCCAATTCTTCGACCGCCACCGCCATCATCTCCGCCATCATCCATCATCTCCGCCTTCAGTCTCCGATCCCACCCCGAAATCTCCGATCCCACCGCCGATTTCTTATTTTGGAGGGGGGTTTTTGTAAATCCTCCCCCAGTTGGGAGCTCCCAAGCGCGCCACAAATTTGTGGAGCGCTTGGGAGCTCCGAAGCTGGAGGCCGCCACGTCACCACTTGGGAGGTCGTTGGGAGTGCTTCGGAGGCTGTTGGAGGGGCTTTGATCTGGGAGCTTGGCCACGTCGGAGCTGGGAGCGGAGCTGGGAGCTTGCTGCCCATGCTCTTACACCAGTCATCTTAGGAGGTTAGGCGGCATTTTATTTTTGGGTTCCTGGGGCAGCTCCTTTTGATGCCAAACATTATCATTTAGAAATTAGAATCAGATCCCACGGTAAAAAGTGGAACTTTGGTTCCACCTGTCTAACTTAAAATTCACGGTTTTCTACGTGAGAACGAATTCAGTATTTCAATAAAACACTTTTTAGAAATGACGACTTTGTAAAACGACAAATTTGTGCTGAGAGGAAGAACTCACTGTTGATCATGCACTAATGCAGCTAAGCGGGAAAAACAAGGAAGAAAACCTCAGGTTTACACTGGCTTTGATAAAAAAAACACAAAGGACTCCAGAGGAAAGTCTTTTTTTTTTTTTGGCAAAAAATCAGAACATGAACTCAATCCCTGACTACAAATCTCACAGAAAACAAAAAACAAAAAAAAACGAAAAAGAAAAAAGAAGCCGTTGTGCTATCCGAAAAATGAAGTAGTTGTCTTTAAAATAAAACAGAAGGAAATTAAAAGCAGCACCAGCAGGCAAAGCTTTTGAAAATAGAAGTAAATATAATTTACATCGACACTAGTATTAGTCAAAATATACACATACTCCAATCACAATACTACGCTATCATATATACACATACTCCAATCACAATCTGTCACTTGCATCGACACTAGTATTAGTCAAAATATAATTTACATCGTCGCTTTCACCAACTTGCTATTTACAAAGCAAAGGCATCGAAACCTCAGCTATGATTCAATGGACCGATGCTGCTTAACGCTGTGGGTCTTGTTTGTTAGTGTTGCCAACCACGAATCCACCTAAAAGGAGCAAATACAACAAAAATGAATAATACATAGGCATCGTCCAGAAAAGCTTTTCTTCACTGGTGAACACATGATATCAGTGGGTTACGATTTGATAAAGAAAGCAAGGAACCATATACGTTCTCTCAATAATAGCTATTCACATTGTCAGGAAAATTTATGAGCATGTTTGGGAATGGTTAAAGTGGCTTATAAGCCACTAAGACATGTTTGGCATGCACCTTTTTCGGCTTATAGGCCAAAAAAATATAAGTTGGGATAACCCAACTTATTTTTGGGTGGCTTATAAGCCACATAATTTGACCAAGTAGAAGACCACTGTACCCCTTAACATTTAAGAAAAGGGTTTTTTCCCCTATAAACCACCTTAAATAGGGTAATTATACGGAAACCACATTAGTTTTTAGTTTTTGTTGCAATCAACAACCTCCCAATCAAATTCTTCACTAAATTGCCCTTAAAAAACTCGGAGTCAATGTACATGACTCATTTTTTACTATTTAGGTCTTGTTAACATACAACTCACGTACCTTGAACTAGAATTTTTTAAGCTTATTTTTGGTTTTCTAGTGAAAATTTAACTAGGAGGTGGTTGAGTGCAACAAAAATCTACTTTGAAGCTAGTTTATGTATAAACTGAAAATAAAAGGTGGTTTCCGTATAATTAAACTATTGTTAAGGTGGTTTCTAGGAAAAAAAACTCATAAGAAAATTCAAAAGCTCTCTATTCTCCATCTCCTAGCCCTTTTGATTATTTTGACAACAAAGATGGATTATAAGCCACTCATTTGCCAAACATTCTATTATAAAAATGGATCATAATTCATTAAATTTAACAAACACTTTGGATTATGTCAACTTAAATTATAAGTCATTTGGGGTTTATAAGCTAAGTGGATTATAACCCAAAGTTGCCAAACATGGCCTATGTACTGCCGATTCTATCCAATGAATGACTGAAACCACATCAGCAGACATGCATATGGCGTATGAACACAGGACAACTGCAACCACATGCATGTATGTGGTAGACACACTAGATTACTTTAGGTGATACTGCTGTAAATGATTCAAGGTCAAATTGTACTGCTAAAAATTGTTCGCTGGATAATCAAAATCCAAAAACAAATTCTTAGTTACTATCTAATTTACACATAAATTTGTCTTTCTAAAAACCTCACACCAGAGACAATCTTAACCCAATTCTATCCGCAGTTGTGATGAGTGACGATAATGGTCCGCTCCACATCCTCGTGGATCCATTTGGTTCGGTGAGCTTTTTTAGTCCTCAGAAAGAAGCAGTTCTTTTCCATACTACTGTTTATTCTTTGGATATATCAATACATATTGAGTGGGGCATCTTGCCCTACTTCTTCCTTCAAAGAAAATTGTACACAAACTAGAAGCCAAATTCATATAGGTTACTACTTAAGTATCAAAGAAATTGAGGATTAGGTTTTAAGAGTAATAACCCCTTAACCCTCACCTGATTTTGGAGTTTGACCCAGTGGAACGTTAAGATGGAATACCTAGGTTATTTTGGCCAAAACGGAAAACCATGTCCCAGCAGGGAATTGTTGAAGAGTTAAAATATCACTTGTCACTCGCCATAACTTCAGAAACAAGCATTCTGATGTCGAAGCAAGAACATTAAAAATATTAAATTAAAATCATCTGAAAATACGTATAACCTACATAAATTATAAGTGTTCAAAGAACAGATTTTAATGGGTTCTATACTTCCATATCACAGACGTTACATACTTCATACTTGTTATTAGAGAGCATCTTAATTTTAGTGCGATTTTCAAGACACAAGAGTCTGAAGCAGCTATGACAAAATCCACATATTGCACTATAACATGAAGTGAGCACATAACATGCATACCTGCACTATAGAAAGACTCGAGCATTCAAACCGGAGTCCATGGCATGTCAAGATGTAGAATGCATATCTTTGCGTACCATCTTCATGTGTAAAGCTTGGTAGCGACCCAATTTCCACAACATCAGATAACAGTGTGGAATCTTGAGGGCTCAAATCTGCAAGCCATGCTTGAGCTTAACCATTGACAAGCAAATGCAGCAGAAGTATTACAAGCAGGAAGGGAAAAAGTTCAATTTTCCTTGACTCCAAAGAACCAAAAAAGGAAAAAGAAAAGCTTCTTGAATTCACTACTTGGCGAATATTTCTATTATGCATATTTCCAGTTCTAGACAAAATGATAATGCATCGAAAGTTCCTATGTGCCACTGAAGCATGTCCTCGTCTCCAATGTGCCATCCTAGACAGAACATTCTACTTAGTTTTATACAATGCACAAATAAATCAGGATGATGGCGTTAATGATTTAAAAGAAAATCCTTTACAAATTCTACTACTATGTGCTTATGAACATGTGAAACTACCAATCTTCTCTTCTCGAGGCTTAAACTAGCAACATGGATACTGCATAAATACCAGTTCTGATGACTGTGACAGAAGAGTTAGCAGACATGGGAAGATGCACAAATGTATCTCCTCAAGCAAAACTCTAAAGTTCATGCCAATTGAATATTATGAAACAACTACAGATTTCAAATGCATGATGGATTTTCCATTAAAGAGAACTAGACTACCACTAAATACTACCATATGGATTTCACATGCATGATATATTTCCAATGAAAGAGAAGTCGGCTACCTTCAGAAGTATCTAAAACGTGAATAATCTTGTAACCCAAATTGACTTATTGACATTCCCCATCAAAATCCACACTGTTGGTGTGATTAAATAAATTGTTGTATAGGAAAAACATGAATATGTTTTCGATTTGTTTTCTCCACAAAAAAAATGTCCTTTACCCATACATCAAGCGACAAGAATCAATTTCGTGGCCACTTGATGCAGTAGAACATCAAAAATAGTTTTCTGTACCTAGATACCTTCCTAGGGAATAACATCCAAATCATGCCTTAGGCAACCAAAAGACTAAAAAATTAAAATTAGCTGTTACTAGTAAATACGCATTACTTCAGTAAGAACATCAAATCCAAATTCAGTATTACAAAGATAACATTTCCACCATCTAAATACGCATTACTTCAGTAAGAACATCAAATCCAAATTCAGTATTACAAAGATAACATTTCCACCATCAGATTCAGGATATCCACTCAGGGTTTGTCAAATCCAAATTCAGTATTACAAAGATAACATTTCCACCATCAGATTCAGGATATCCACTCAGGGTTTGGTTGTAATGATCAGCTATAGCAAAATTATTGTTTCCAACATTAAATATTGCAGCGTCCAATTTGTAAATCAGTTTATCCCAAAAAAATCTAATCAGCACCTTAAATATATTCATTTGTTATACACTTAATGCTAAACTACATAAATTTATAATGCACATTTCACAACTATAGAATCATTATGATAGCATTAATATGTCAGTCTCCAAAAAAAAAATCTCCCTCTAAATGTATAGGAATCAGCTTTACGCACTTCACACCCAAATTGATGTACCACTTAAAAGTGCAAGTAGGATGAGAAGCAAAATGTCAGATAATCTAAAGAAGAAGAGAGTTTAAAAGAAATGAGGTCGTTACTGCTAAACAATTAAGCATGTTATCGCATAAGCATGTGCAGAAAGATGAAACGAAAATATTTACTTCAACGAATTGGATCAAAAGCTTACTGAATGGAACATACAATTATTCAATGGTATGCTTTAGTGACTCAACTATTTTCTTCTCTCTTACCCTTTTGATTGGCCAGTAGGCTGCAACTATCTCATTACATAGAAGTGAATAAAAATTTGCTGGAAGATCTTAGTGAAGGCCATTTTTTCAATTATATCACTCCTCCTTTGAAGAGAAACTAGAGCATTAAAATTAAGTAACCCTTCCAGCTTTACCCATTAAAAGCCACCAACAGATGGACATGCAGACTAAGAAGGAAAACACATAACATGTTTTGTATACAATTACATAGATAAAATATTGAACAGCTAGGAAGCAAATTTCAGGACCTTGAAAACTTGCAATATCCATATCTAGAAGACGTAGTACATTGTTACAAGTAGTCATGCTTGCATGATCTCCTCCTTTATGCTACATAGCATGATATAACATTTTTCTTTTGAGAAATCCGGAGGATGTAGAATTTTTTAACATATATCTTGATGCACAAAATATTTTCTTCTTCTTCTTGTTTGGAGAAAATAAGGGCCTCAGCCATTTTATGGAGATGGAGAATTAACTTTGCAGATTTCTAAGTGACCAGAATCATTACCAGTGGATTTGAGATAATAATAGATACATGATCCATTGAGAACAACAAAACGAGGAAGCCAATCATCAACATCTACATCATCTAAGATAGGAGGTTCTCCAGGAAGTTCTGTCCACCTCTAGACATATGTAAGAAATGAAATTAATCAACAGTTTGACCAATAAAAAATCAGAAAATCAATTAGTAGTAATAAGATAGCTGAGATATAGGAGGCATTACAGTTCTAATGTACAGATATCCTGAAAGCTGTGCAGACTTTAAAATCTCATCTAGATGTTCCAACCTGGACATGCAGAAATATTATCAACACATGCAGACTAACAACAAACCTGCTCAAGATATTCAATTATGATTCTTTTAGCATACAGGTGTCTAACTATCAGCTTAGTTTGATATTAGCGCCCACCACATTAAACTGATAGGCAGAAAACTCGGACTATTGAATTGGTAGAAAACTTGTTTGTGAGGTTAATGGATTAAATCACAATTTCCATGTAACAGCTATGAAGCATGATATTTCATTATCTGCAATTTTTCAGCAGGGTTGCCAGTCCTAACACATGCTGTTTCCCACTAAACGATAGAGAACTTCCTGCAACTGCAACTATAGTTGGTGCTAATTTTGGGACTTTTTCAACAATGGCTTTTGGTGTAGCATACAACTCATGACTGGAACAAGTATGTTTTAACCTGAACTTCAGGAAAGTAAAATGCAGTGCAGCTTTTAGAAAATGAATCTTGCTCAATTAAATAAGTAATAATAATGCATCATCATACTGGGCCTTTAGATGTGATTCTCTTTCTTCTCCGTCTATAATTTCTGAACGAAGGGCTTCGACTTCTGCACGTGTTAGTTCGACCTGTTAGTCAAAACCACCATTTCAATAAGAAAAAATCATTACGACTAATGAGAACAAGAAAATGTGAGACATCTAGATGGTCATCTCAACAATAACCATAAATACCAGTTTTGTCAACTGCACTTGAAATAATAAGAATTTATACTACATATTGCTCTTACCTTGTCATCTTCATCAGAGTTGGATGTCCATGGAAGACGTGGTAAACTAAACAAGTTCAAGATAGATGCAGCACCCATTACTTTTAACACAGCCTGCAAGTGACGTCGAGATCTGTATTGGAAAAACAATATGGACAGGGGCATTAGCAACTAATAGACGTATATGCATCCATGTAATTATTGAGATGACACAACACCTCGATGAATAATCAGTCCTGGTCCTTGTGGGGAAACAATCCACAGATGCTTCTGTATCTTGGAAGTGGTTTGGGTAAACTTCTACTTTTCCATAAACATCATCCATTAGCTGACACACTTTTGAGAGTGTGGGTCTAAAAAATGAAGGATAATGAAGTGCCTCTAGTGGGTAACTGCTACCGTTATAACTGCAGAAAAGTTAACTATTACGCAGAAATTACTCTCAACACTTACCTTGGTCTATCAATCCCTATGAATATAATTCCGCATTAACTAGTGTCTATTGAAGCCAGTAAACGCCACCTTTGCCTGTAAGAAATATCGCAGTAAAAGGTGTCATATGTAGCATTATATAAATGCAACGCTCACCAATGCATTTTGGCAGAACAAAATAACAAATTCCCACATAGTATTCATGTATTCCCTCAAAAAGAAATTAATACTCATTAAAATGAAGGTGAGATGTAAGAAGAAATAAGCCCCGACTTTTAAGGGAAAAAAACAGTCATGTGGTATTGACTCGTGTGAAAATCTTCTAAGACATGAGGGTGTCACATAATTTCTGCTCCTATCAAATAAATGCTTTAGATATATCGTAAAACTAATATCATGGAGTTCTAATTCTAAATCAAGGTATCCCATTTTATCTATATCTTTTGTCTATGTACTACGACGTTTCACAGCATGAATCAACACTTTCAAACATAAATTTTATGTCGAGCTATGTAAGGCACCGTCATTAAAAAAGTGGATTTAAAGTTTTAAACACCTAACAACTCAGATTTAGGTCACAAACCATAGAAACTAGCTAGAGCGTTTTACTTTTAGGTGTCCTTGGGAACAAAGATATATTTGCCTTTAACTCTTAGCTGTGATCTGAGAATTTGAGTTGCAGGAAAATAGGATAGAACATTTTTGTTGATTAGGTTTGGAGAGTGTCCATTGTGTATAACCTTCAAAGCTACATATGATTCAAGTCCTCAGTTGCGCAATTGTTATTTGGCTCAACAAATACTTACAATTATAGATTTGATTTAAACCTAAAAGTGCAATTTGGCAATCAAAACTCTCAAGATCTAAAAAAGGCTACTCCTAAATGTAAAAACTATATCCTCATCATCAAAAAATCTAATTCCCAATCACAAATCAAAGGGCCTGTCCTAAAATTCCGCATAAACTTATAAGGTAACCGTTACATAATTTTCTGCAAATAAAATTAATAGAATTAAACAAAGAATTAACTTTCCCCAAAATAAGAAGCAAATATACTCAAATCATCACCGGAAACATCCACCAGTCAACTCAATCAAACAATTAAGAACACCAAACTCAGCATACAACCAAGAAACCCAAAACTAACCTAAAACCGAATCAAAACCCTAGAACGAACGCAGTTTCAGCTCATCAACAGCTCAAACAAGCAGCATAAACCCTAGTTTTACCCAAGAAAGCAAATATTCAAACTCAAATACTCTTCGACTTCAATTAAAAGGAAATTTTAAAAAGATTGGGAACTGGATCGGACCTTAGTTTAGGGCTTTTTTGAGAAGAGTTGACGAAGATCTTGCGATTCTTTTCCGAGTTAAAAGCTTTTTTAAGTTTTTCTCTATCAAGCTCTTCGAAGAGGGAGGGTCAACCGCTAAACTGTTCCATACACCGAAAAAGACGCATTTACCCCTACGCGGTTACGCCTTATTGCTTCGCGCTGGCGGTTTTGCGTTTTCTGCCCGCTCTGATGTTTGACTTTAAATCAGCTGCTGTTTTAGGTATACTAGACTAAATTTTGCTTAGGACGATATTGTTGTAATATACTAAAGAAATAAAACAAGTGACAAGAGACAACAGAATATGAGAAATTATAAATTTTATTCATCAATTCTATTTCCATACATCGTACAATTTATAGATACATGATGGAAGATAAAAGAACATCAAGTTAATAGTCCACATACAAAGTAATGTTCACATACATTTTGTCTTTTAGATTTTAACAAAATGTCTTTTAGATTTTAACACTCCCCCTTGGACATTAATTCGAGATGTCAATGCCTCGTTAAAAACATCGCTAGAAAAACCCAGTGGGAGAAAAACTAGTCGAGGAAAAGAGTACATGACATAAGTAGATTTTTGTGTTGTATTAGTTGTCTCATTAAAAATCTTTAGTTAAGAAAACCATGTGGGACAAAACTTAGCAAAGGGAAAAAGAGTACAACTATAGACCTTCAAGACCCAGTCTTCGGGATTGTCTTAAAAATTCGCTCCCCCTGATGATGACAATCTCCTGAGTGTATGCCAAGAAAAACCCAGTAGGTCAAAACTTAGCAAAAGGAAAAAAATATAACGATAGATCTTCAGGGTCCAATCTTCAGGATTGTTCTTTAAGGATTTGCTCCCCCCTGAAGACGATAGTCTTCCAACTCTGCACATACCAATATTGTGAACATATTTCTCAAAAGTGGATGTAGGCAGAGATTTGGTGAACAAATCTGCAAGATTGTCACTTGAGCGAACCTTTTCGATGGTGATTTCTCCATTCTTTTGGAGCTCATGTGGATAAAAGAATTTTGGCGTAATATGTTTTGTCATGGTTCCTTTTACATATCCACTGCTCATTTGTGCAACACAAGTTGCATTATCATCATAAAGGACAGTGGGGGTAATATCGTCCTTCGCTAGACCACACGAGCCACAAATGTGTCGTATCAACGATCTCAACCATACACATTCTCGTGAGGCCTCATATAAAGTGATAATCTCTGAGTGATTAGAAGAAGTAGTCACCATGGTCTGCTTAATAGACCATCAAGAAACGGTAGTACCACCACAGATAAAAATATAACCGGTCTGAAATCTGACGTTATGGGGATCAGACATGTAGCCAGTGTCCTAATAGCCCATCAATGTCATATCTTGATTTCTTTTATAAAATAGTCCAAGATCTTTTGTACCTTGAAGATAGCAAAGAAAATGTTTAACGTCATTCTAATGTCTCCTTATAGGAGAAGCACTATACCTTGCTAGCAAGTTCACCGCAAATGCAATATAGGCCTGGTGCAATTTGCGAGATAGAGAAGTGCTCCAATGACGCTCAGATAGAGAACTTCTGGCCCTAACATTTCTTCATTATCTTCTTTGAGTCTAAATGGGTCTTTATCCACTTCGAGGGATCTTCATTATCTTCTTTGAGTCTAAATGGGTCTTTATCCACTTCGAGGGACCGGACGACCATTGGTGTGCTAAGTGGATGAGATTTATCCATATAAAATCTTTCCAAAACCTTTTTCACGTAGGTCAACTGGTGTAGAAAAATTCCTTCTGGGAAATGCTCGATTTGCAGGCCGAGACAAAACTTGGTTTTTCCCAAGTCTTTCATTTTAAACTCCGTCTTTAGGCATGAGCTAGCTTTTGTAAGCTCCTTGTGCGTTCCAATAATATTTATATCATCAACATAGACCGGGATGGTACAAAAGCTATTTTCGGATTTTTTTATAAAAACACAAGGGCAGACGTTATTATTTACATATCACTTCTTCAGGAGGAACTCACTCAGTCGATTATACCACATTTTACCTGACTGTTTCAAACCGTATAACGACCTTTGTAATTTAATGTTATACATGTTGCGATTCTCGTTTTCTCTCAATTCAGGAATTTTAAGTCCATCAGGGACTTTCATATAAAAATATTATCGTCTAATGACTCGTGGTCATGACGTACATATACTACATATATAAATTCATAGTTTCTGCCATAGATATTAACTTACGGAACGTAATACAATCACTTATAGGAGAATATTTTACATCTAAATCGATGTCGGGTCTCTGCGTGAACCCATTGAGCTATGAATCTCGCTTAATATCTCACTACTTTACAATTCTCATTTATTTTTCTTACGAAGACCTATTTATACCCTACAGGGATATATGGACTATAGGTTCAAAATATTTTAGCGAGTTCAGCTCAGCCTCAATTGTCACTTTCCATCTCACCTAGTCCGAGTGCTTCAAGCACTCTGCTACCGACTTAGGTTCTGGATCCGGATTATTTATGGAGATAGTAAGAGCAACTGTAGAGGCAACTATGCTATCGACAACTTTTATATTTCTATTATATATTTCTTATTTTTCACAAATTTGTGGCCACTTTAATTCTTATTTTATGTCAACCAAATCATCGTCATTCCCCTTAACAATTGGATTTGGTCGTTCCGCATCTCCAGTATTGTGATTATCAAGCACGTATAACTTTTTTGGAGATTCTATCTTCAGGATGAACCTCTTCCGGAGATTATGAGAGTGAATGTCTTTTTATATAGAATTTAGTTTGCTGCGAACTTTTATCTTTTACACTAGCATGTTTTATATGCTTCTGGTAAAGTATGCTTCTGGCATACCAAATCATCAGTGATATACACAACATAAATATGGGGCTTAGTCACTCTTTTCTTAGCAGATTATCATGTGAACTTCTGGTTCAGTTTAACTAGTACGTGGATATAAATATTCAAGATCTTTTTCATCAATGGAATTTCTTGATATTATTTTGTATTTTGGACACTAATCTCCCCCTAATGTTAATAATTGATCTTCAATAAAAATACAACTAGCGTACCAAATTGTAAATTGATCCCTTAACATGGGCCATAGGTACTAAATTATTGACGGAGTTTCATAAATAATGTATGTACCTTCACCGAGGTCCCATAGAGGTATGCTATGGTGGTGATACAGAAACATGGACTGTAAATAAAGAATACACGGATGGGAAATGTTTTGCTTCTTCACCACGTATTAGATAAAAAGGAAAAATTGTGATATGCAGTTGGTCGGATTTGGTTTGAATGCCCCATTTAATTTAAGAAAATCCGATAAATCATATTTTGCCCAAGATGACCCAATAGCTCATGCTAGAATTTAAAAGAATTTGGGTCCCTAAATCTTAAAAATCCTCACAACATGGTTAGTATTAGGCCGAATATATGTGTAGTACAACCCTGAGGAGAAAGATGGAAGCTTCTCTACAACATTCTTCCGACATCTAATTGACTGAGTCATGAGAAGATGTTTAACACCATTCTTATTTTCGGTTTCAATTAGACTGAATATCTTTAAAACTAAGAAGGGTACATTTGGATTCTGGATATAATAATGCATTATTGATAATTAATTCCATACCCATAGGAAGTATTAGGGAAGCTCTGCCGCAGTCTACTATCAACACATTGTCATTAGCAATGGTGGTTACACTTCCTTGTTTTTTAGTCAAAGTGCCCAAAAATTTTCTATCTTTCAGGATAGTATGTGTGGTAGCACTATCTACCAAGCACAAGATAGTCTCCTTCTCCATGGGTTGTATGCGAGAATTGTCGTGCTATTTAAAAAAATGAAATATTCATATAAGCACAAAAAATAAGGTAAGGGGGAATAATCATTTAAACAAACTCATACGAACTTGAAATTGTCTTACAAAAACATGTAAAATAAGTCTAGAAAAATTTCAAATTATCTTAACAAAAGCAACTAGAACAAGTCTGAAAACGAAATAGACTAATAAAACATGCATAAATAGTGATAAATAACATAATTGTTAGCCCTTATGTTTTGATGATGTTTTACAACCACCATTATCGGTACTAACGGCTTATTAAGTACAAATGTAGTGAATTCATTTATCAAGCTTGTTAGCACCACATATGGAGGATTGGATGGAATATGCGCTACAACGATGATATCCAAAGGAGGAGGAGGCATAGTGATGAAGCAACATAATTTCAAGAACAACAAATCAAATAGAAGCTTCATCCAAATTCAAGCTATATCAAGACTCAAGCATTGCATTCTATATGAGGATATTAGCTATCTTTTATTTTTTTTCTCTCTAGTGCTAGAATGTAGGCAAAGATTTATTGACTTCACTTGAAGCTATTGGGATATCACACACACGTTTTCATACTTATGTTTTTAAGCGTTTTTTACAAAATACTATTTTTCACAAGTATGAGGACCTATCTACAAAATTCCTTTTCCAAACAGTTTGTTTTTAGTATTAAAAACATTTTATAAAGTTTCATAATTTTCAGAGGTCAAATAAATATTTTCCAAATATTTTAGTTGAGTCAAAACTGCTTATCTGAAATGTATCAGAATGCGGTCGACCGTACCGGTCGACCGCTCATATGATCATTCGTCAGTGGGCAGCAGAGAGTTTGTTGGTCGACCGATGCGGTCGACCGAGAGCTCGATTTTTCTATCGGTCGACCTCACCGGTCGACCGATGAAGTCTCTGTTTGTTTTTCTCGTTTTCGATCTGGATCGCGATCGACCGAATGATTTCGTCGGTCGACCGAAAATTTCATCGGTCGACCGCCGTATTATTCAAATGGTAATTTTGGTCCTTTTCCAGCGCCGCTCAGTACAGATCTCAGCGACGCTTTGCTTCCAGATTTTGGGGGATTAAGGGATGGGTTTAAACAGCTGTTTTTCTCCTATTTAAACTCCACCTCTTCTTCTTCCCCAGTGTCCCAGCTTTTGCCAAAACCAGAGACGTTTGTTTTCACTGAGCAAAATTTTCAAACTGTTCTTTCTGTGTTTTTATGTGTTCACTTTCCAGCTTCAGTGTGCTCTTTCTCTTTGCCATAGGGACGTTGTAAAGAGAGAGTCTTACACCATTTCTACTATCTTGTGAGTGTGATCTTATGTAGATCAACTGTGAGGGAGTGTGATCTAGTAAGATCAAATGTGTAGTGGAGAGATCGTGTGGGATCGCTGTGTAGACGAAGTTCCGGCTTCCAAACCGGGCTGTGTAGTGGATTTCTCCTCGAGAGTGGGGAGCGGGGACGTAGGTCAGCGGACCGAACCTCGTTAACATATCGCGCGTCACAGGATAACGATTCCTAACCTTATCTCCTCTATTTTGATTGCATTAGAATACTGTGGTTTGCATGTCTTATTTTTATTGCATAATTATAGCCTCTTGACCCTAATCACCCCCCCTCTAGGGTCCAACAATTGGTATCAGAGCTTGGTCTCTATATTAGTTTTTGGTTTAACCGCCTTAGAGAGAAGATCTAATGGAGGCTTCTTTGAATATGCATATGTTAGAAGGACAATCCACCACTAGACCATCACTCTTCACCGGGAGTAACTTTGCTTATTGGAAGGCTAGGATAAGAATTTACCTTCGTTGTATTGATCTTGACATCCTAGAGCTCATAGAAAAGAAATATGTTGAGAAGTCCAAAGTCGGGAACATGACCGATGGAGAAATGCATCAAGCCAATCTCAATGCTAAGGCTATGAACGCCTTAATTTGTGATCTTTCCCTCAATGAATACAATAGAGTTTCCACGTGTGTAGCCGCATACGAAATTTGGGTAAAATTATGTATCACACATGAAGGAACCCCCCAAGTTAAGGAATCTAAGATTAGTGGGCTTATGCATGATTATGAGCTATTTAAAATGCTTCCTAATGAATCCATTGATGCTATGTTTTCCCGTTTTACTAATATCATCAATGAATTACATGGTCTAGATAAGCAATTATCCATTCAAGAGATGAACTACAAGATACTTCGCTCCTACGGCCATCGAGGAAGCTCATGACCTTACTACTCTAGCTCTCGATAGTCTCATCGGAAAGCTCAAGGTCCATGAGAAGAAGCTCAAGGGGAAGGAGAAGGAGGAAGTGTCATCACGGGAAGTTGAGGAGCCATCACCAAAATTGAAGACCATAGCTCTCAAAGGAGCTAGTGATAACTCCTCTTCGTCATCGGATAGTGAA